GGGTTTGCCCCCCAGGGTAACCCAAAAAAGTCAGTGCCAAAGAAGACTGTCTAATTATTTTCCCTTTGGGGGCCTTAATCTTGTCTCCCCCGGGTCACCCCCCAAACCCGTACTAACACCCGGGGAAAGGGGGAAAAATGCCCGGAACTAGTGCTCATATGGTGAAATTTAAAACCACAAAGGTGGTTTGAGAGATTTAAGAATCGTAGTGGATACACAGTTTGATAAGGCCTTTCTGGAAGAAAATGCCAAAAAGGACCTCAGACTAGGAGGGGAAAAGGCACTCCCCGGACACAGTGTTCATCAGTCATTGCTGCACTTCAAAAGGTAAGGCATTTATTCTTTAATTTTTTTTTAAGAGTGTACATGCACAATATATATTGTGATGTACTGCTTACTATTGTGCATGTATCCTTCTGTTTGGTGTTGGAAAAAGTATTTTTTTCATGTGGTAAAAAATTTTTTTTTCATATTTTGGGTGTCTTGCACGGATTAATTTGATTTCCATTTTTTTATGGGGAAAATTCTTCGCATACCCTATTTCGCATAAAATGAGCCCTTGCACGGATTTAAAATCGCTATGCGGGGGTCCACTGTAAATGATTTTAAAATTTTGGGGTTTTATTTCCAAAAAAAGCATCATTTTCCCTTAAGGGCCCAAAGGGTGTTGCGCAGACCTGCTGAGCCCCCCAATAGCATTGTCTTAGCACTGTGGGGGGGTGATGGGATGTGTCAAAACAGCCTCCATGGGGATCGGGGTATCAGATGCATACTTAATTTTAATAATTTTTATAATTAAATAATTTAAAAATTTAAAATTTTATTTTATAAGTACATGTACAGGTCGGCCCCTCCCAATCCCGGCATCATTTGGGCCCCGTTGTGTGCTGGATTAGTGGTTTGCCAGATTTCAGTGGTTCCCCATCAAAAGGGACCTTTCTGCCACATCTTCTATTTTCATCACGCTTTTCCTCCTGTGGATTTACAAAACCCTCTGCTGTGGGTTTACAACCATCGCGTGGATTTCAACATGCACATTTCTGAGTCGTATAATGTTTGAACCGTATAATGATGAAATTTGAAATTATGCTAGCCCCAAATTAAAAGCCAGATTCTGAGGAACCCCGGGTAACGATTGCCCGGGTTAGGATGGGCCCGACAAGGTATATAGACTTGTATATAAGTGAAAACGTGGTCCCCCCAATTATCATCCATAACCTTTTCCCGAAGTGGGATATTATCGAATAGACGTGTTGTCGATTTTTTCCCCCTAAGAAATAATGTAAAAAACAATTAATCCGTTCCTGACACCCAGAAGTATTAAAACAAAAAAATTTTTTACATGAAATGTAGATGTAGTACATAAACAATACAATAGTGTAGTAACCAAAATGGCCAATAAATCTGTGTAAAATATGAGGGTTTACATACCTAACTTTTTCTTAATTTTTTTATATTTCTAGGCTACTTGGTTCATCTGCAAGTTTTATCAGGTTGTCGCAAATCTCTGAAAAAAAAAAATTCCCAAAATATTTATTTAAAAAATGCAAAAATTTAAATGGACCCTTTCGTTTTAAAACCCTGGTTGTTCAAAGGGGTCAAAGTATGTTTGATAGGACTGAGTTATATAATGAGTGAGGTTGAATAAAACCTTTGCCCCTAAAATTTAAAGGTTTAAAAAATGTAATTTCCTGGTTTTTAGACTTCACTTCTTGGGATTGCCGTGGTTTGTTTTTAAGAGTAATGGTCTTTCCACCCCCCCTTGATGGTGGGGGGGGGTGCGAGTTGCCCGGCAAAAATTAATGGATATTTACTTTGTTTAAAGGGGTTTAAATTTTTTTGGGGAAATCAAATGTTGAAGGGGGGTTTTATAAAATCAATTTGGGACTTTTTTTTGTGGTTTCCAGGTTTTCAATCTTCAAAAAAATTTGGGTGTGGCGCCCCCACACAGGGGGACCCGGATTTTCCATTTCCTTTTTTTTTCTTTGCATTGTTTGGGGAAAACCCCCCGGGGGGTTTGGGCTTTTACAATAAGGAAAATTGTTTGTTAACTTTACATGATAGTTTAAAGGGAATTTTTAGTGAGTTAAAAAGGTTGAATGTTGCAGGAAAACTTGGCCATGATGTTTTTTGAGGCTCAGGAGATTGAGGAAGAGGTTTAGAGCTTTGGCAGCGATTATGAAAAATAAGAACTCTGTGAAGGAAATTCCTCAAACTAAGCTGACGGGCCCCCATAAACAGAAAAAGTCCCTTTTTAATTTGATAGTCACTCAGAGTACGTCATGCCATACGTGCCGGGTTTCCCAATTCCCCTAAAAGTTTGTTTTAAAAAAAGAAATTGTTTTTAATTGTTAAATCTTTCTTTTTCATGGCTGAGTTTTTACTAAATTTTAAATTTTTAATTTGTTTAACATATTTGACACGAGGCCAGGTCCTGCTCACTTTTTATGTAGTAGGTTTTGTGGAAACATACTGTCTAGGAAACATATTTTTTCATAAGATTGATAAAAAATAGCAGTGGCTGGGGGACATCCACCGCCTGGGGGCCTTTTGGATAATGGGGGAAAGGGTTTAAAATTCCAATGGCAGGTTGTGGCCCTTTACTTTTTTCTCTGACTTGACAGTAAGTTTTTCAAGTAAAACTTGCAAACTTCGTTACACAGGATTTAATGTTTTTTTTTTCCGGTTTTTTTTTAAACCTTCAACGCAAACGTTTAAATACGTTTACTTGCGTAGTGCTCCGAACGTAGATCTACATTTTATTTTACATTTGAAAGCATGTAAAATAAAATGTAGATCTATGTTTGGAGTGCTAGCGGCACAAACGTAGATCTACGTTTGGAGTGCTAGTGGTACAAACGTAGATCTACGTTTGGAGTGCTAGTGGTACAAACGTAGATCTACATTTGGAGTGCTAGTGGTACAAACGTAGATCTACGTTTGGAGTGCTAGTGGTACAAACGTAGATCTACGTTTGGAGTGCTAATGGCACAAACGTAGATCTACGTTTGGAGTGCTAGTGGTACAAACGTAGATCTACGTTTGGAGTGCTAGTGGTACAAACGTAGATCTATATTTGGAACGCTAGCGGCACAAATGTAGATCTGTGTTTGGAGCGCTAGCAGTACATAGATCTACGTTTGGACAGTTTAAGGGTTAATGCAGTAGGTCTCATTTTTGTAATATTTCCATCATAATTTAGGGAAGACTGGTCAAAGGCTGGAGGCCTTTGACCAGCAACTGAAGAAATAATCTTGGGGCAACTAAAGAAATGATCTGGGGGCAACTAAAGAAATGATCTGGGGGCAACTAAAGAAATGATCTGGGAGCAACTAAAGAAATGATCTGGGAGCAACTAAAGAAATGATCTGGGGGCAACTAAAGAAATGATCTGGGGGCAACTAAAGAAATGATCTGGGGGCAACTAAAGAAATGATCTTGGGGCAACTAAAGAAATGATCTTGAGGCAACTAAAGAAATGATCTGAGGGCAACTAAAGAAATGATCTGGGGGCAACTAAAGAAATGATCTTGGGTCAACTAAAGAAATGATCTTGGGGCAACTAAAGAAATGATCTGAGGGCAACTAAAGAAATGATCTGGGGGCAACTAAAGAAATGATCTGGGGGCAACTAAAGAAATGATCTGGGGGCAACTAAAGAAATGATCTTGGGGCAACTAAAGAAATGATCTTGAGGCAACTAAAGAAATGATCTTGGGGCACCTAAAGAAATGATCTGAGGGCAACTAAAGAAATGATCTGGGGACAGTTGAAGAAATGATCTGGGGGCAACTAAAGAAATGATCTGTGGACAGTTGAAGAAATGATCTGGGGGCAACTAAAGAAATGATCAGGGGACAGCTGAAGAAATGTTCTGGGGGCAACTAAAGAAATGATCTGGGGGCAACTAAAGAAATGATCTGGGGACAGCTGAAGAAATGTTCTGGGGGCAACTAAAGAAATGATCTGGGGACAGCTGAAGAAATGATCTAGGGGGCAATTGAAGAAATGATTTGGTTGGCCACTGAAGAAATTATTCGGTTGGCCACTGAAGAAATTATTTGGTTGGCCACTGAAGAAATGATCCAGGGGTAACCAAAGAAATGATCCAGGGGCAATTGAAGAAATGATTCAGGGCTCATTGAAGAAATGATCCAGTTGGCCACTGAATAAATGATCCAGGGGCAACCAAAGAAGTGATTCAGGGGCAACTGAAAAAGTGATCCAAGGGCAACTGAAGAAGTGATCCAGGGGCAACTGAAGAAATGATACAGTTGGCCACTGAAGAAAAGGTCCAGGGGTAACCAAAGAAATGATCCAGGGGCAATTGAAGAAATGATTCAGGGCTCATTGAAGAAATGATCCAGTTGGCCACTGAATAAATGATCCAGTTGGCCACTGAATAAATGATCCAGTTGACCACTGAAGAAATGATCCAGTTGGCCACTGAAGAAATGATCCAGGGGCAAATGAAGAAATGATCCAGTTGGCCACTGAAGAAATGATCCAGGGGCAGCTGAAGAAATGATCCATGGGCAGCTGAAGAAATGATATACGAGGTGCTATCCAAAAGTTCCGGTACTCAAATTTTCACATGCTTCCTGGGTGCAATACCGTATTGCAACAGTGTAGATCACATTGTGCAGTACAGTAGAACCCCAGTATCCAATGATTTGGTATCTGCAGTTTCAGTTATCCATAGTTTATTGTGGCCCAAAAATACCTCTGTATTTTGCATAATAATGGCCTCAAAGTGCAAAAGTAGAAATGCTGGCAGTTCTTCAAAGCCTAAGAGAAGCTGTGAAGTACTTCTTATCAGTGAAACAGTGATAATTCTCCACTTATTGTGCATAATTTATCAATTAAACTTTATAATAGGTATGTATAGGACATAAATATAGGGTTTGCTATTATCCATGGTTTCGGTATCCATGGGAAGTCCTTGGAATGTATCCATCGTGAATACGGGGGTACTACCATACTCTCCTCTGTGAAGTAGCATGGCGAGTTTCATTGCAGTTGGTCATTCTGTTGAGGTTAGACAGGCATTTTTTGTCATGTCAGTGCATTGTGATTTTTTTTGTGTAACTAGATGGAATATTTGAAGAACAGCATGTATGTGAGTTTGTGTGAGAGATTCTGTTTCAAGCCTGGTAAAATGACTAGTGAAACTCGCAAAATGCTTTAACAAGCATTTGTCGATGAAGCAGTGGGCCGGACACAGTGTTTTGAATGGTTTTCTCCATTCGAAGCAGGATGACTATCAATTGAGGATGATGAACACTGGTCATCCATAAATGTCAGACACAAAGGCCAGCATTCAAAAATTGATCAAGGTCATTCACAAAGACTGTCATCAGAGTATCCAGGACATTGCAAGTATACTGTGGGATTTTTTTTTTTATGGACTGTGTGAAAGCATTTTGATTGAAAATTTAAGATTAGGAAAGTGAGCAGGGGATTTGTAATGCTACTTGTCAAAACATGTCTGGAACTCTTCTTTCATAACGGTGTCTAGTGCTGTATATGATTCTGCTGGAACCGCCTCCACATCATTTAAACACCACCCCTTGAGTACCATTTTTATTTTTGAGATGAGAAAGAAGTCACAGGGGGGCTGGATCAGTGGAGTAGAGAGGGCGGGAGGATGACTGCCATGTTAGTTTTGGCCAGAAAATGCTGGATTTACTGAATATATTATCCCCAGATATACCATATATAAGATTCTAGTTTATATACAGTGGACCCCCGCTTAACGATCACCTCCAAATGCGACCAATTATGTAAGTGTATTTATGTAAGTGCGTTTGTACGTGTATGTTTGGGGGTCTGAAATGGACTAACGTACTTCACAATATTCCTTATGGGAAAAAATTCGGTCAGTACTGGCACCTGAACATACTTCTGGAATGAAAAAATATCGTTAACCGGGGGTCCACTGTATTTGGAAAATGCTTAAGTGTCAGGTCCCCAATCTGCACACTACCATAACTTGAAGCATGAAAGATGTGGGAGAAACTATGTAAAACTCAGTAAAAGCAGAGGTACCATAGGCACAGTTATAGATGACAGGCATGTAAGTTTTATATTTATGTTAAACATTAAAACCATGGTGGTCATTCAGAGCAAACAGAGCAGTGTCTAGGGTAAATAACTTCCTTCTACCAGGAATATCAAAACTGTTAAGGGAAAAGTTCCAGCTACTCACTACAAGTGAGTAATTAGACAAGTTGTGATGACTTGGTAGGCATGCAGGCTGCTAGCAGCAACAACCTAGGTCACCTGGCAGTCACCAGTGAAGTCTGGTCTTGGGTCAAGCTGCTAGGGTTGAAGAACCTTGTAACTGGTCACAGGTCTTCAGTACACCAGTGCTTCCTATATTATGGAAAACACATTAAATGATTTATCAAAATGAATTACCATGATTGTGGATGATACATAACATGTTTCAGGTTTTATGAATATAGAATAACAAGATGTTGTGGGTTTCAGTGGTTGAACGAGGTGGAAGAACGTCGTATCCAAGTTCTTATGCTGATGTTGTCACTGAGGCGTCTCAGTCGAGTGCAGAAGGTAAGCTAGGACATGTGTGGCTGCTTATATTAATGTTGTCACTGCTGTGTCTCAGTTGGGTACAGAAGGTAAGCTAGGATATGTGAGACTTTTTAAATTAATGTTGTCACTGCTGTGTTTCAGTTGAGTGTAGAAGGTAAGCCAGGAAAGACAAGGTTACTGATACTGATGTTATCACAGTAATGTTTCAGACTATCACAGAAATTAACTCTTTCACTGTCCAGTCCCCCAAAATTAATATTGCACCCAGTGTCCACTTTAAAAAAAAAAATTCTTTTGAAATGGTAGAGAATCTTTTTCTGAAAGTAATGAAATCAAATCTGCTGGAATATTTATGGAATTAAGCAGGCATAAAGTTAATGGTTTGGATGCAATTTATGCATCGGAAATTTTGCAGACTTTAAGCTATTTTGTTAGTGTGTTTTATTTTCTATCAGTTGAGCACAAGAAACTGCCCATTCATCTATCACAAGTACCCTATAAAATGCACAAAAATTGGTACCTTGGCCAGTTTTACACAAAATTAAAAAAAATACCAATTTCAAAATAGTCTAAAATAAACAATGTAGACATTCCTAAAACATTTCCTCCGTGCATTAATCACATCCCCAGGCCTCTCCTATATTATACTTTTCTTCCATTTTGAATTCATAACCACAAAAATAGATGATCTACTCTGTTTCCTGGGTAACAATATACTATAACCAGGAATGATTGGTCATGGTTTACGGCATTCCAATAATTGAATCAGATCTATTATTAAAAACTCATGAACCAGACCAAGGGGTGTAGAGGGGCCTTACCCATCCTCAGGAAAATCGGCAAAAAATTAATATTTTCATTACTTTGAGCTACTTCTGGTTCTGAAACCAGCAAAATCATCTGTATTTTGGTAATATATCTTCCGTTCTGTCAAATGACACATGTAATAAAACCATAAAAACCTAAAAAACACCTCGAAGTCACTCTTTAAAACCAAATATGTGGTCAGAGATGTTAAGCTTTTTCCATCATGCACCATGTAAGGCAAGATTTTATTTTTATACTGTTCAGATACCCATCCTTTCATGTCTAGGCCAAAATTTGCTGCTTGCAGCTTAACTAAGTTGTGTGAGGGAGCCTGGCCTCAATGACATTGTTGTATGTGATGGCCACTGAAAGGGTTAATTCCAAGGTTCTGGGCAGTGAAAGAGGTTAATTCCAGGGGGGTGTGGACAGAGAAAGAGTTAATTCCAGGGGTCTGGGCAGTGAAAGGGTTAATTCCAAGGGGATCTGGACAGTGAAAGGGTTAGTTCCAGCAGAGAAGGGAGGGGGCTGGACATTCAAAGATTAAGTGTTGACAGTGTCAGAATTTAAAAAAAAAAATTAATCAGCTGATATGGTAGAAATCTTTTTCTGAGGGTAATGACATCAAAAATACAAAATTTGGTAGTGGGCAATTATGTCAAATTTGAGTTCTATTTTAACCCGTAAACGGTCCAAACGTATATATATGTTTTTTCAACATTTGAAAGTATGTAAAAAAAAGTAGATCATTTTTTTTTTTACGCTTGAAAACGTGTAAAAAAACTTTGATCTACTTTTTTTTTTATATTTGAAAATATATATATAAAAAAAAAACGTAGATCTACTTTTGGAGCACTACGCATATGAACGTAGATCTGCTTGGACTGTTTACGGGTTAATAAAATTTCTATGCTTAGTTTGACCCAGTTTCTAGCTATTTTGCTAGTATGCCTCCTGTTCTATCAACTGAGCTCATTCAATTATCAGAACTACCCTATAATTTGCACAGAAGTTGGTACTTTGGTGAATATTACACAAAATTTAAAGAAATTTCAATTTAAAAATTTGAAATAAACACTAGAGATTCCAGCCAGTGAAGCAGTCTTTACTCTTAATTAATCACGTCCCCAGGCCTCTCCTATGTAACACTTGCCTTCCATGCTGAATCCATCATTATACAAAAAATTGAAGTTTTATCCTGTTTCTCTGATAATAAAATATAACCAAGAATGATTGGTCATGGTTTACGATGGTCCAGTAATTGAAGCAGACCTGGTCAAAACACAGATAGACCAGGAATATTGTGAAAGGTCAGATATTTTCACTACTTTCAGCCTAATTTCAAGCTTCTTCCAGTACTGAAACCAACCAATATCATTTCCATTTCAGTAGTTTGTCTTCCATTTTAAAACTTGACACCAAGAAACATTTACTTATTATTATGTTGTAATTTTTATACATTGTAATGTGTTACTTTTAATGCATAAATTGTCTTGATTTACAATATTTATTTTGAATTATAAGTAGTGTTACCTAGGTAGTAGGTTGGTAGACAGCAACCACCCAGGGAGGTACTACCGTACTGCCAAGTGAGTGTAAAACGAAAGCTTGTAATTGTTTTACATGATGGTAGGATTGCTGGTGTCCTTTTTTCTGTCTCATGAGCATGCAAGATTTCGGGTAATTGCTACTTCTACTTACACTTAGGTCACACTACACATATATGTACAAGCGTATATATACACACACCCCTCTGGGTTTTCTTCTATTTTCTTTCTAGTTCTTATTCTTGTTTATTTCCTCTTATCTCCATGGGGAAGTGGAACAGAATTCTTCCTCCGTAAGCCATGCGTGTTGTAAGAGGCGACTAAAATGCCGGGAGCAAGGGGCTAGTAACCTCTTCTCCAGTATATATTACTAAATGTAAAAGGAGAAACTTTCGTTTTTCCTTTTGGGCCACCCTGCCTCGGTGGGATACTGCCGGTGTGTTGAAAGAAAGAAAGAAGTAGTAGTGTTACTCTGAGTACCCTTCCAGGAGCTGCCTTGATGCTGAAGGGCTCTTGATCCATTGAATTAGAGGTATCCTTCCCTTGGATCTAACCTGGCCACTTGCCAGTCTGCAGGCACTGCATGACCCTTATGTGTTTACTGCTTTCCATGATTGTATTTTACTCACAGTTTTATGTTATTCACAGTATCTTGGTCAGTATAAATTACCTCAGAGTTTCTTGTCAACAGGTTCGAATGCGTGATTCCCGCGAGAAGACTGCTGAAGCTCGTCAGAGCGTTGACGGCGTGACATTGCAGCTGCAGAATCTTCTCTATGAAGTGGCCCATCTGAAGAAGGAAGTGAGACGGTGCCTGGACTTCCAGTCAGCTGACCAGGAGATTGATCTTGTGCCTGTAGAGCAGTTCTACGTGGAAGCTCCGGAGTCCATCAGTCGTCCAGTAAGATCTTCACTTAGTCTTCCCTCCACACACACTATACTCTTTTGATTTAAATATTCAATACTGATATGCAGTATAAAGGTTACCTTACATTAGTGGAAGACAAGTGATGTGCTGAAAAAGGGTGAAAATAATAATTATTTTTTCAGTATTTTTTCTATACTTCAGTATAGTTTTAGCAACACTCCTAGGGGTGTGAAGTATGGGTTTTGAATGCTGAAGGAAGGAGAAGGCTGGAAGCAGTATAGATGTTGTTTGAGAGCAATGTGTAGTATGAATATCATGCTGAGAATTTGTAATGTAGAAATTAAAAAGTGATGTGGGTTACTTAGGGTTTAATTCAGAGGGAGGAGGGGCTGCTTAATTTAAGTAGTTTGGGCATGTTGACAGAGGATGTTCAGTATCAGTAAGACGACGAAGGTATATGAATCTGAGGTGCAATATAGGAGGGGTAGGGGTCAGGTCGTCCAAGGAATGGTTGGAGGAAGGGGAGTACAAGAGGTGCCAGATGTGATGAATGGTTTTGAAAACTGACAAGTTGAAGAATTGAGACACTTACGCAACATATGGGAATCTTTATTTAGCCTCAGACAACAATACAGTGCTAATTGATGACAAATTTCAGTTACTCTGCTCTGGAAGAATCTAGGAAAGATTTAAACTGAGTACAAGACAAATTCAAATCATTCATTGGAGCAGAAATTCAATGTGAGAGACTTAGGAGTAACAGTGTTCGAGAATGTCGCGTTTAGTGATTACAACAATGTTGCTATTGCTACTGCATTAACATGGTAGGCTAGGAAACTAGAATATTCAAAATGAGTTCCCAAGCCAGTGGTAATAATGTTCAAGTCATGTGTTCTCCCTGGGCTGGAATTTTGCTATATGTTAATGGTGCCAATCAAGGTAGGAGAAATTGCAGAGCTGGGACTATATAGAGAACCTGATATATTCAGAGAGCATCTGTGCTTCTGGAAACTCTGAAGTCCTTGAATTGCTCTCCTTGCAATAAGCAAAAAAAGTACGTCATAGTTTACACCTGGAAAATCTGGTCCCAAACCTTCATACTGAAATCACTCCATAGGAAAACAAAGAGGCTTGACACATGATGCAAAATGCCCCCAGTGAAAAGGAGGAGCACAGTGAGGACAATAAAAGAGAAGTCCATAAGCGTAAGAGAACCTCAACTTATTAACGTCCTGCTTTCATGCACAAGGGGAACTATTAACAAACCTTTGGCTGTTTTCAAGAGGGAGCTTGAAAAGTTTCTCAAGTCAGTTCCTGATCAGCCAGGCTGTGGCACAAACATTGGATTGCATGCAGGCGGCACCAACACCCTGGGTGATCAGACCAGCATCCGAGAGAGGGGGTGACCCCCAGAATCGATGCAAGGTAAACATAAAGGAACTCTTCTCCAGGTAACAGTTTAGTTATGCTGTTCACAGTTTTTTTTTTTTTTTTTAACAAGTCGGCCGTCTCCCACCGAGGCAGGGTGACCCAAAAAAGAAAGAAAATCCCCAAAAAGAAAATACTTTCATCATCATTCAACACTTTCACCACACACACACATTATCACTGTTTTTGCAGAGGTGCTAAGAATACAACAGTTTAGAAGCATATACGTATAAAGATACACAACATATCCCTCCAAACTGCCAATATCCCAAACCCCTTCTTTAAAGTGCAGGCATTGTACTTCCCATTTCCAGGACTCAAGTCCGACTATATGAAAATACAGTGGACCCCCGGTTAACGATATTTTTTCACTCCAGAAGTATATTCAGGTGCCAGTACTGACCGAATTTGTTCCCATAAGGAATATTGTGAAGTAGATTAGTCCATTTCAGACCCCCAAACATACACGTACAAACGCACTTACATAATTACACTTACATAATTGGTCGCATTCGGAGGTAATCGTTATGCGGGGGTCCACTGTAACCGGTTTCCCTGAATCCCTTCACTAAACATTACCCTGCTCACACTCCAACAGGTCGTCAGGTCCCAAGTACCATTCGTCTCCATTCACTCCTATCTAACACGCTCACACATGCTTGCTGGAAGTCCAAGCCCCTCGCCCACAAAACCTCCTTTACCCCCTCTCTCCAACCCTTTCGAGGACGACCCCTACCCTGCCTTCTTTCCCCTGTAGACTTATATGCTTTCCATGTCATTCTACTTTGATCCATTCTCTCTAAATGACCAAACCACCTCAACAACCCCTCTTCTGCCCTCTGACTAATACTTTTATTAACTCCACACCTAATTTATGCAATATTTAATGTGAATTTCAGCAGAGTCAACTTAGATTGCTAGGTTAGAGTTGGTGCAGAGTAGAAACTTAGTTTACTGTATTTTCTTGCATATAAAATGCAAGACAAAAGTATCATAATGGGAAATCAGTAATCATATTCAGAGGCTAATTACTTTCTTACTTCATACTAAAGCGTAACCCGAAGCCTACCCTTGACCCCGACCTTGAGCGTATAAAGTTCAGGCTGATTTTTCCAATACTTTCTGTGGGGAAAAAAGTGCACCTTAAGTGCTGGAAAATAAGGTACTAAAATTTAGTATATCCATGTTAATTGGAATTGGAAGGCTGTTCAGGTGATGCCAGGTTTTAAGGGAAGTGAGGAGTTGTTCTCTAGTTAGTTACACTTTGTCCCATAATAAGCAGACAGACAAGGAAGGAAATAAGTGTGATGTCACATTTATCTCACCTTGCATTAATGAGGAAGAGCCACTGTGTTAAGAAATGTATGTATATGTATAACAGAAGAGTGTTTGAAAGGGGTTATGTTTTCTAGGCTGAGACTGTGGAAAATCCTCACGAACAGCGGTTGGCTCGCCTGCAGTGGGAACTGGAGCAGCGCCGGGACCAGACGCAGCTCTTTGATAAACTCACTCAAGAGAAAGAGGCAGTTGCTGAAAATATCAATGAGCAAGAGCGAAAGTTGGCATCACTGGCACCGAGGATTAACTCAATTTTGGAGGTGAGCACGTTATGATACTAGGAGCCAAGAGAAGTTATTATCTTGTATGTAGTATATAGATATTCTTCAGTCATCTTTCCAATTATTAACATTATATTTAATGAAAATATTTCTGATGCCATTCTAAAGCATAAGGCCCATGCCTGCCCTGGTCACACAAAGCAAAGGTCAGCATATGGGTGGGGATGTTGCAGGTCAGGTTTCAAGTAACAGATGTCAGTATATGGGTGGAGATGTTGCAGGTCAGGTTGAAGTAACAAATGTCAACATATGGGTGGGGATGTTGCAGGTCAAAGAGTCATCTGCAGTGTGATGTCCTTGCACTTCTGGCAGGACAACTGTTGAATGAGTGAAGGTGAATGTTTTTTCTTGTTTGGGTCTTGCTGCCTTGGTGTAGGTAATGAAGTGTCTCTCTGAGGAGTTTTGAGAAGAATATATGAGTAATAAAGTTTTTCCCCAGGCTGTGTCATACTACTGATACAGGCTACTTATTATACTACTGAAACAGGCTACTTATTATACTACTGATACAGGTTACTTATTATAGTATTGATGCAGGTTACTTATTATACTACTGATACAGACTACTTATACTACTGATACAAGCTACTTATTCTACTACTGATACAGGCTACTTATTATACTACTGATACAGGCTACTCATCGTACTGATAAAGACTAGTCATTTATGCTACTGGTACAGGCTACTCATCACACTACTGATACAGGCTATTCATCATACTACTGATACAGGCTACTCATTATATGGATACAGGCTACCCATCATACTAATACAGGCTACTCATCATTCTGGTATTACTTTCAGGCTACTCGTCCTCTTCAAGATGCTCTGGACTTGCCCATTGATGCCAAGAGAGATCAGCAGAGGATTGTTCAACTGCTGCCCAGTCCACTCTACACACTCTGGGTTCAGGTGAGTCCACTCTACACACTCTGGGTTCAGGTGAGTCCACTCTACACACTCTGGGTTCAGGTGAGTCCACTCTACACACTCGGGGTTCAGGTGAGTCCACTCTACACACTCTGGGTTTAGGCGAGTCCTCTCCACACACACTATGTTCAGGTTAATTGAACGCTACACAGTATCACAGTCTTCTTCTTTCAACAAACTGGCCATATCCCACTGAGGCAGGGTGGCCGAAAAAGAAAAACGAAAGTAGTATCATAGTTATTGTGACAAAATACCACAGTACAACTAGTCTTCTGTATCACAGCATCACTTCCACAGTACCATAGTTTGACAGTTTGCTCTGTAGTACTATTCAACTATGGTATAAACCTTGGTAATAAATACCGTAAGCAAACACTATGACATATGTCATAGTGTTTGCTTACGTGTCTTTCTAAACCAACTATTCAACAATACACAGTACCCAAAATATAATATCACAGTTCCACAAAATAGCATCATTTCATTATAACATTGATGAGAAAAAAAATTGATTCCCAGCTGGAGGCAATTCCTATGTAGGGATATGCACATTCTCCCCATGTCTCCGTGGGTTTTCTCCAGGTACTCTGGGTTCCTCCCACATCCCAAATGTGCACATTAGGTTAATTGGTGTGTCTAAATTGTCCCAGTATGAGTGAGTGTGGGTGTGCGTGAGTACTCCCTGCACTCACGCACATGTCCTGTCCATGGTTGGGTCCCGCCTTGTTGACCACCATCACTTAAATGTATGTATAGTTCACATTTATTTCAATGTTTAATATTAGAAGTGTTTTAGGTCTTTAGAAGTTTGGTGGTGTTTTTGTGATCAGAAATGTACAGTAAGAACTTAACTTTTGTTTATATCTATTAATCTGTGGTAAAATTGTTTTGATATAGTACATCATTTAGCTTAAAGTGCAGTTTCCAAGAACCTATCAACGATATTAAGTGAGAACCTACTGTACTAGAGTTTGAGAGTGATACTACCTCAGCACGACAATACCATAGTACGACAGTATCACAATTTCACCATACTACAGTAGCACTGTACAACTTTACTATAGTACCACAGTACCAGAGTTTCACATTCTCACAATTCCACTGTACTGTGGTATGACTGTATCATAATGTCACTGCACAATATCACTGTTCAAAAGTTCCACAGTACAGTAGGGCCTCACTTATACAGCAGGCTAGGTTCCAGGCTACCGCTGGAAAGCGGACATCGCTGGAAAGCAGTACTCCATTTTTTGCACTTATAAATACATAAATGCCAGATAACAAGTTTGCACTAACATATATTAAGTTAGCAATAGAACTAGGCATTAAAAAACGATAAAAAGTAAAATACACGCACAGTACACTCATTGCTTATCTCAAAATATTTGTTGTCTTAATATAGGCTGAGAAGTAATATTTATTGCAAGAAGTTAGGTGTGGTAGGTATGGTAGTCCTGGCCAACCCACCCACACGTAATATACTACAACATTTTAAGTACCCTAGAGCGATAAAATGCATATACAGTAGAACCTCAAATATCGAACTTTCTTCAGTCCAGAAGGCTGTTCGAGTGCCTTTGCCGAATGAATTTATTCCCATCAGGAATAATGTAAATTAGATTAGTCCATTTCAGACCCTCAAAAATACACTTATAAAAGCACTTACAAAAATACACTTACATAATTGGTTGTGTTGGGAGCAGTTCGGTTTTTGAGGTTCCACTGTACAGTACATTCATTATTTACCCTAAAATATTTGTAGTCTTAATGTAGGGTGAGAGGTGAGTAAGCGAGCTAAAAACAGAGAGCGAGAATGAGTAAATGAGAGAGGACAGAGGTGCAGAGTGTGTAAACAAACAGACAAACGCATCTGGTTATGGTTCATACACGTTAATACAAACACCTTACATTGTGTACAAGTTGTCTCCACAGTGGTACAGTAGAACAAATAACGAGCAACACTCCCATTCTCATGTAACACCATTTTTAGAAGGAATGACGCTCTGAGTGAAGGCATATGAAAGGAACAATTTTCTAATTACCAAAAGTAATACTGTTGTGTACACATTTCCTTTGGTGTTGAACTAGAGAAAAGGTTATTCTTTCCGATGCTCCAACAAGTTGAACTAGAGAAAATGTTATTCTTTCTGATGCTCCAGCAAGACGACTGGGAAAAATCTCATATTTATGTTAATTTATTCAACTGTGAGTGTTTTTATCATGTTTATGTTACGTAGCATGTTTATTATATAATTTCGAAAAAAATATCAATGAATTAGTGAAAATGCCTATACAGTGGACCCCCGCATAACGATGGCATCACATAGCGATTAATCCGCATACCGCTTACTTTAATCGCAAAAATTTTGCCGCGCATACCGATTAAAAACCCGCTCACCGATTTTCGTCCGAGACGCGTCCAATGTGCGCCCTCAGCCAGCCTCACATGTGCCGCCCGTGCCATTGTTTACCAGCCAGCCTCCGCGGTAACATCCAAGCATTTTTTTTTTTTTTTTTTTTTTTTTCAACAAGTCGGCCGTCTCCCACCGAGGCAGGGTGACCCAAAAAAAAAAAAAAGAAAGAAAATCCCCAAAAAGAAAATACTTTCATCATCATTCAACACTTTCACCACACTCACACATTATCACTGCTTTTGCAGAGGTGCTCAGAATACAACAGTTTAGAAGCATATATGTATAGAGATACACAACATATCCCTCCAAACTGCCAATATCCCAAACCCCTCCTTTAAAGTGCAGGCATTGTACTTCCCATTTCCAGACTCAAGTCCGACTATATGAAAATAACCGGTTTCCCTGAATCCCTTCACTAAATATTACCCTGCTCACACTCCAACAGATCGTCAGGTCCCAAGTATCATTCGTCTCCATTCACTCCTATCTAACACGCTCACGCACGCTTGCTGGAAGTCCAAGCCCCTCACCCACAAAACCTCCTTTACCCCCTCTTTCCAACCCTTTCGAGGACGACCCCTACCCCTCTTTCCTTCCCCTATAGATTTATATGCTTTCCATGTCATTCTACTTTGATCCATTCTCTCTAAATGACCAAACCACCTCAACAACCCCTCTTCTGCCCTCTGACTAATGCTTTTATTAACTCCACACCTTCTCCTAATTTCCACACTCCGAATTTTCTGCATAATATTTACACCACACATTGCCCTTAGACAGGACATCTCCACTGCCTCCAACCGTCTCCTCGCTGCTGCATTTACCACCCAAGCTTCACATCCATATAAGAGTGTTGGTACTACTATACTTTCATACATTCCCTTCTTTGCCTCCATAGATAACGTTTTTTGACTCCACATATACCTCAACGCACCACTCACCTTTTTTCCCTCATCAATTCTATGATTAACCTCATCCTTCATAAATCCATCCGCCGACACGTCAACTCCCAAGTATCTGAAAACATTCACTTCTTCCATACTCCTCCTCCCCAATTTGATATCCAATTTTTCTTTATCTAAATCATTTGATACCCTCATCACCTTACTCTTTTCTATGTTCACTTTCAACTTTCTACCTTTACACACATTCTCAAACTCATCCACTAACCTTTGTAATTTTTCTTTAGAATCTCCCATAAGCACAGTATCATCAGCAAAAAGTAACTGTGTCAATTCCCATTTTGAATTTGATTCCCCATAATTTAATCCCACCCCTCTCCCAAACACCCTAGCATTTACTTCTTTTACAACCCCATCTATAAATATATTAAACAACCATGGTGACATTACACATCCCTGTCTAAGACCTACTTTTACCGGGAAGTATTCTCCCTCTCTTCTACACACCCTAACCTGAGCCTCACTATCCTCATAAAAGCTCTTTACAGCATTTAGTAACTTACCACCTATTCCATGTACTTGCAACATCTGCCACATTGCTCCTCTATCCACTCTATCATATGCCTTTTCTAAATCCATAAATGCAATAAAAACTTCCCTACCTTTATCTAAATACTGTTCACATATATGTTTCAATGTAAACACTTGATCTACACATCCCCTACCCACTCTGAAGCCTCCTTGCTCGTCCGCAATTCTACATTCTGTCTTACCTCTAATTCTTTCAATTATAACCCTACCGTATACTTTTCCTGGTATACTCAGTAAACTTATTCCTCTATAATTTTTACAATCTCTTTTGTCCCCTTTCCCTTTATATAAAGGGACTATACATGCTCTCCGCCAATCCCTAGGTACCTTCCCCTCTTTCATACATTTATTAAACAAAAGTACCAACCACTCCAACACTATATCCCCCCTGCTTTTAACATTTCTGTCATGATCCCATCAGTTCCAGCTGCTTTACCCCCTTTCATTCTACGTAATGCCTCACGTACCTCCACCACACTTACATTCTGCTCTTCTTCACTCCTAAAAGATGGTATACCTCCCTGGCCAGTGCATGAAATTACCGCCTCCCTTTCTTCCTTAACATTTAAAAGTTCCTCAAAATATTCTCGCCATCTACCTAATACCTCCCTCTCCCCATCTACTAACTCCCCTACTCTGTTTTTAACTGACAAGTCCATACTTTCCCTAGGCTTTCTTAACTTGTTTAACTCACTCCAAAATTTTTTCTTATTTTCATAAAAATTTCTTGACAGTGCCTCTCCACTCTTTCATCTGCTCTCCTTTTGCACTCTCTCACCACTCTCTTCACCTTTCTTTTACTCTCCATATACTCTGCTCTTCTTATAACACTTCTGCTTTGTAAAAACCTCTCGTAAGCTACCTTTTTCTCTTTTATCACACCCTTTACTTCATCATTCCACCAATCACTCCTCTTTCCTCCTGCCCCCACCCTCCTATAACCACAAACTTCTGCCCCACATTCTAATACTGCATTTTTAAAACTATTCCAACCCTCTTCAACCCCCCCACTACTCATCTTTGCACTAGCCCACCTTTCTGCCAATAGTCGCTTATATCTCGCCCGAACTTCCTC